GCATCTTAATGAGTTCTTTTAAACCACGGAACATCTCTGTGCTGAGCTCTCACAGGCACTTGATATGTACTTTCAACACAATGTAGGCTCTGTACCATCTACCTTGACCGTATGGGAAGCCCACAAGGTGGTATTTCGAGGCCTTTGTATCTCCATGGGTTCTCGCCTGAAAAAAAAATCCTCAGAGCATGCCAAGATTACCCTAGTTCGCCAGTTAACCCTAGCTGAATGTAGACTTCTTGCAAATTCGTCTATTTCTAGGCTGTATAAAGTGACCTTCCTACGTGACCAAATCAAAACCCTTGATGCTTGTAAGTCCACAAAATCTCTCCTCTATGTCAGGCAGAAATTTTACGAATGCTCTAACAAACCCACCGTATGCTTGTCAATAGACTTAAAGCACAGTCCCCTTCTACATTGCCGGACCATCTTGTCCAGCCGAATGGGAGCCCTACTTACGAATCCTCATGTGATGGTCTCCCTTTTTGGCTCATATTATGAGTCCCTTTACAACTGTTTGACCTCAGACTTCCACCCTCATCTTACAGAAACCTCTCTTGATAGGTTTTTCAATACCTACTATTACCAAAGCTATCGTCTTAGACATTGCGGCCCTCAACGCTGACATTACATCTGAAGAACTATTTGATACAGTCAAACATCTCCCCTCACGTAAAGCCCCGGGACCAGATGGACTTCCCTACTCCTATTACAAGACCTTCATTGGTATCCTAGCTCCCCATCTTCTTTCTCTTTATCATGATTTTTTCAGAGGTATTGTTACCCAAGCCAACTTTTCCCGTGCATATATCTCTGTGATTCCCAAACCTGACAAGGACCATTCCATCTAAGATAATTACTGTCCTATTACTCTATTGAACTCTGATTACAAGATTTTTACTAAGATCCTCGCCAATCGGTTATCTAGGCTCATCTCCAAGCTCATACACAGAGACCAGGTCGGCTTTGTTCCTGCCAGATATGCGGCAGGTAATACCAGAAGATCTATTGATCTGGTTGACTTGGTTAACCGGTCCTCCATCCCCACTATTTTATTGAACTTAGATGCCCAAAAAGATTTTGACCGCCTCAGCTGGCCTTATATGTTTATGGTCTTGGAGAAGTTTGGCTTCCGTGGCCCTTTCGTGGCAGCTTTAAAAGCTCTTTACTCTCACCCTTCCTCACAGGTCAGACTAGCCTCCTTTCTTTCACCTCCTTTCCAGATGTCGAATGGTACGCGGCAGGGATGCCCACTCTCTCTCCCCTATTGTTTATCCTCTGTTTGGAACACTTGGCTATTGCAATCCAGGCCCATCCTTACATAAAAGGAGTAATGTCTCATGGCCGTGAATACAAACTATCCCTATTTGCGGATGATATTCTCCTTACTCTCTTGAACCCCCAAATCTCCCTCCCAGCATTACATAAACTTTTACGACAATTCGGGACTCTTTTGTGTTACAAGGTTAACACATCCAAGACTGAAGCGCTCCCACCCCACATACCACCAGTTGTCCTCTCATCCCTCCAAGACTCTTTTCCATATCGATGGTGCACCCATTCTTTTAAATATTTGGGTACTAATCTTACCTCTTCCTACAGTTCTATTTATGATGCCAATTTCTCCCCACTATTTTTAGCTATTTCCCATTCCTTAAGGTTTTGGGATACCCTACCTTTATCATTCTTGGGACGTATCAACGTCATAAAGATGACTGTACTACCCAAACTTTTATATTTATTTGCGACTCAACCCGTTACTGTTCCCATGTCCAAACTACACTCCCTCCAGAAATCCCTTCTACACTTCATCTGGCATAATAAGCGGCATAGAATTGCACACAGTGTGCTACTGTCCCTGCGCTCTAGAGGAGGCCTAGGGTCACCGGATATCGTGACCTACTATTATGCTACTCACCTCCATTTCATTCCGTCATGGTCCACCCAGTTTCCTCCCAATCTGTGGACTGAGATCGAGTCCTTACAATTGACTCCGATTCATCCTTGCTCTTTCCTCTGGTCATCCTCGGCGGTGGACCTTGCCCCTTTCCTCGGCTCCATGCAATTTTCCATGAGTATTTGGAGGAAATGTAGGACTAGGTTTGCACTGACCTCAGACTGCTCTCCACTGTCTAATATTCTCTTTAACCCCAATTTTCCAGATAGTTTGGCTGTATCCCGGGATGCTCCCTTTGGTCAAGGCCAGGCTCTTCCAATTGCGCCACCTAGTACATCCTGTTACTTGGAAGTTGCAACCATTCTCATACCTCCAGAAAAAAGATCTGCCCTCCCAACATTTTTATATATACCTTCAGCTACGCAATTTTTTCTCCACCATGTCCCCCACTTTGACTCTTGGGAAACCCTCTCCCTTTGAGCGTCTATGTATACAGGGACCACATCAAAGGGGTATAATTTCCAATACATACAAACTCTTAATGGACGCTACCCCCCCTCTCTAATGACACTCACCATTACATGCGTAAGTGGTCCCAGTTTTTGCAATGTGACATTGATCTAATACAGTAGAAGAAAATTTGGGAAAACGCATCTAAATCTTCTGTCTGTGTGGTTTATAAAGAAAATACATACAAAATTCTGATGTTGTGGTGCAAATCCCCTGAGGTTATTCATGCTTTTAACCCGAGTGATTCTTCTGCCTGCTGGCAGATTTTTTGGACTTGTGGATCCATTGTCCTTTTTTGGGAAGAGGTTTTTTCTTTTTTACAATTGTTATTGCATACCTCTCTCCCCTTTGAGCCCCTATGTTTTTTATTGGGCTTGCCGTTCCCAGGCCTTCCCAAGTTGTCCAGGAAACTCTCCACACATATTTTGACTGCGGCCAGAAGAAGCATTCCTATGTGTTGATTATATCCGCTATACCGCCTTCGATGTCAACTTTGTTTAAAATTATTGCTGATGTACGACAGATGGAATACCTGACTGCTATACATTCCGGCTCAATAGCTGTGTTCAAGGCAGTGTGGCACCCATGGGATAATTTCTCACCTTCCCTCCTTTCTCCAACTGTGCTGTTCTGATAGCCTCCCCACCGTAGCTTTGTGATATTATTATGTTTGTAACCATGCAGATTTTACCATCGATGTGCTCCTTCTTTCTATTTTGTTCTCTTTCAACATGTTCTTTATATATATATATATATATATATATATTTTATATGTATATGTGAAAATCAATAAAAATTGTTAATACAAAAAAAAAAAAAAGAAAGAAAGAGAAGCTGCTACCATCAATCTTGGTGCCCTTGGTCATCGTACACTTTTATGTATGCCTCTCTTGCACTTCCTGCCCAACACTCCTGAAGGTGGAGACAGAGTGCGTGAAGGCAAAGAGTGGCATGAGTGCAGGAGTAGCTAGCTGGTGGTGACCACTCTGTAGGTGGGTAGAGCTGGTAGTCTCAGTCCTCGGAATTGAGTGAAGGAGCAGCTTGACACCAGAGCAGAAGATGAAGCAGGACCAGGAGACAGGCATCATAAAGCAGTCAGCAGAGACAGGGTGGTGAGGGACCAATTCGGCAGACAGAGCAAGTCCAGGAGGCAGGCCAAGATTAGTAACAACTGGGCAATGCAGTACCGAAACAGTAGACAAAGGCAAGTCCAATAAACAGGCCGAGGTCAGAGTAATCAGATGAAGAGGGTGTAAGCAGGACCCGAAGCGAAGTCCAAAGGCATGCTGGGTCATACACAGGTAAGCAGGTATAGCGGATCAGGTCACAGGAACACAGGAACAAGCTAAAGACCATTCAGAAACTGCTCATAATGACAGACCAATTTAAATAGGCCATTGGGTGCCAAGTGTGCATGCTAATTGGAATGTGTGTGAGCCCGTCTGTATGTGCGCATGTGTGCACAAATGTACACGCGATGAACTGGAACGGCACAACTTTTGCTTCTTCACTCATAAATATGAGCACGTGAACAATGCATACAAATATTATTATTATTATACAGGATTTATATAGCGCCAACAGTTTGCTCAGTGCTTTACAATATAACGGGAGACAATATAATAACAATACAGTTCAATACAAGAGGGATAGGAGGGCCCTGCTCCTTGGAGCTTACAATCTAGGAGGGAGGGGCTAGTGGTACAAAAGGTAGTAAATGTGGGGGATGGACTGGTTGGAAGAGTAGAAAAAATATGAGCATAAGTCTTTACTGGTTCTCTGGTGCTAGGAATTCAGTTTCTATTGCAGATCCAAAGCATTCATCTAACACCACTGTTGCATTTCTGAAGTAGAACAGGGTGAAAGTGATTCAGTGGCCAAGTATGTCTGCTGATATGAACCCAATCAAACAACTAAGGGGAATTCTGAAGAGACAAGCTGAGCATCACTCTGCACCCAGCATCCAGAGGTCGTTCTTGAAGAATGTAAAAAAGATAGATGTTGTAACATGTCACCAACTTGTTCATTCCATGCCTAGAAGACTTGGTGCTGTCCTTATAAATCATGGAGGTAAAACAAAATACTAGATGTAGTAGTTTTATTTCTGGGGTGTATTCATTTTTGCATCAACTAATTTGAATAAAACTGAAGATTTTATAATCTAAGTTATATTAACCTTACTGTCATTTAATGGGCTAAACAAATGTTCTATAACACTCAGTTTTGTCAAAATTTGGAATTTGTTCTATATATATATATATATTGATAACAAGTAGCTAGCTCACACTGTCATGTGTTTCACAAACTGAATTAACTAGTTGCCGACCGCAGATAGCCGAATGACGGCTGCACTGCGGCCGGCCAGTTCTGAGTGGACGTCATATGACAGCCTCCCAAAACGCGCTCTCCTGCGTGCCCCAGGGGGCGCGCAACCCGGTGATCTCCGTGATCGCTGTGTCCTACGGACACAGCTGATCATGTGATGTGGTAAAAGGCCAATCACAGCGGCCTTTTACCACTTGATCAGCGGTGTCCAATGACACGATGATCAGAGGGAAATGCAAGTGCCGGTTCTCGGCTGCACTTTCCTCACGCTGTCAGATCGTGAGGAAAGTACTGCCGAGAACCGGCAGTTGTCAGAGCGGGGATCGGCACCGATCATCAGGGCACTGATGATCAGTGCCCTGATGATCGGTGCCCAGCAGTGCCACCCGCAAGTTCCGCCCACCTGTGCCCAGCAGTGCGCCCACTAGCTCCGCCCACCTGTGCCCAGCAGATCACCCACCTGTGCCCAGCAGTGCACCCACCTGTGCCCAGCAGTGCACCCACCTGTGCCACTCTGCAGTGTCACACACCTGTGCCCAGAAGTGCCACCTACCTGTGCCCAGCAGTGCCACCCACCTGTGCCCACCCACCAGTGCCCACCAGTGCCACCCACCTGTGCCCACCGACCAGTGCTGCCCACCAGTGCCACCCACCAGTGCAGCCCAGCAGTGCAGCCCACCAGTGCCACCAGTCAGTGCCCAGGGTTTGTGCCAGTCAGTGCCGCCAGTCAGTGCCCAGCAGTGATGCCAGTCAGTGCCGTCTATCAGTACCCATCATCAGTGTCACCTATCAGTGCCGCCTATCAGTGCTGCATATTAGTGCCGCCTATCCGTGACACCTCATTAGTGCTGTCTATCAGTGCCGCCTATCCATGCCACCTCATTAGTACTACCTATCAGTGCCCTTTAGTGCTGCCTATCAGTGCCACCTATCAGTGCCCATCAGTGCTGCCTCATCAACGTACATCAGTGAAGGAGAAAAAATACCTGTTTGAAAAATTTTATAATAGAAACAAAGAAACTTTTTTTTTTTTTTCAAATCTTTTGCACTTTTTTTTATAGCGCAAAAAGTAAAGCGCCCAGTGGCGATTAAATACCACCAAAAGAAAGCTCTATTTGTGAGAAAAAAATGATCAAAATTTCATATGGGTACAATGTTGCATGACCGCGCAATTGTCAATCAAAGTGCGGCAGCGCTGAAAGCTGAAAATTGGCCTGGTAAATAAGGGGGTATAAGTGCCTGGTAGGCAAGTGGTTAAAGCCTACTATACTGTATGATATATATATATATATAGTATGTGCAGTGTTACTTCCAAACATAAACTGTACACAGTGCAATGCCAAGCATATATTTACAATGTGAAATCCAGAACCAATGAATCATAAAATGAGTCCCATTGACTTTGTACGTTCGCAAGCTCTTTGCCCAAGATGTACTCTCACCTTAAAATTATGACCTGCACATTTTAGTGGTCATTTAGTGCCTTTTCCCCTTCCTGGGTTCTGGATATCACAAACAATGTCTACTCAAGACACATGACGTTTTTCCATTTTAAAACCACATTTATTGGAAGACATTTCAAGACACTCACATTTGTCAGTGCACCATCTCCTAAATGCACACAGGTAAACTGTAATGTCAGACAAGCCCCTCCATACATTATTCAAATTGTATCAGCATAGAACACCTGCAATTCCTGCTTCTTCCTGGTCTGTTCATGATGACATTACTAAGCCCCGTCCAACACATTTCACCGCAATGCCCTACACTAGCCAAAAGAAAAACCCAATAACCAAATGCTACAATGCCACTCAACCGAATGACAACTCCCTAGGGTCATGGCCATATTTAGGCACTGATGTCATCCCCTATTCCCAGTCCCTTACTTACATGGCTAGGGGACTCCCAGCCATTTAGGTGAATAGGCTGGTCAGTGGTTCATAAGGATGTTTTGAGTGCAAGCATCCACAGCTTCCCTAGAAACCTAAGAGAGTGGAAGCTGATAAGATAGTCCACGACGAACTCCCTAAATGTTCAATGTTTAGACAAATGTTCAAACAGCAACTGTTCTGTTTGACCTTATGATAGGACCAAGCACTTAGCTCATCCCTACTTGAAACTGTATCAAAAAAGAAATTAGTCCCTCATGGTTTGAAGATACGTTTACAGCTAGCCTTCCAGAAAAACTATGAGTTTTCAAGAATGTGGTACTCCTATTGGCCAAAAAATATTTTATCAAAACCTAGCATGAAAATAATTTCCATTCAAGACCAGACTGCGTGGAGTGAATATTCTCTGGTATCAGTAAATATGTGTTGCAAGCCAGAATAAAATTTAACATTAGAGTATTGTCCTATTGAAGTTGGGCAGAGTCCAGTCTTATGAGTGGATAGGTGATGCTGGAATGCTGAGATTTGCATATTGCCATCCAATAGTATGAAGGTGGTGCTGGTAAAGGGTGTTTGAATATAGCGGTAGGGGTTTATACACACCAAATCATTTCTATAGTCACCTTGGGTTGTAATAGGGGTAACTAAATCTGAAACTGAAACACCACACCATGATAATAAAGTTCATATACACGTTTATTCCAATATTCCAAAAACTGCTAACGGCTATTGCAAAATGAAGCTGCAGTTCAGTGGGGAATGCAGGAACTTCGAAGTCATTAAAGTAATGACCACAGGGTTCTGTGGGAAAAGAAGAAGAAAGAAGCATCCTCTATAAGCAGCAGATAGCCTGATGAAGGGGACCAGGCTTTAGTCCCCAGAATGCATTGGCTTTGTGTACAGTCTTTCATTTGTCTTCGATATTGGCATAAACTTTTATCTGGACTTTAAGATAACAGTAAAGTGATGAGCGAGCGACCAGACATGCTTATTGCACCACATCCCTGAGAATTAAGGATATTCAATAGGAAGGATGGGACTTTCAGGGTGCATGAACATGAATGCCACTCATATTAAAAAGATATATAATTTGATTTCATATTTTTTTTCTGCGAGCCTTCACATCCAGGGTGAGCCATTGAGTCCCATATACATATTTGATTGATACACTGTTTGTATTGGATATATTAAAGCTGTTTGGTAACTGTATACTTTTTTTGATATACCTTTAGACTGCCTTGGCGGTTGAAATCTCCTCAAAAATCTCCCCTGAAGAAGCCTGTGAAGGCGAAACATGTAGGGAGTAACTACAATTATATAATCAAGTCTGAATTTCGGTTCTACCCTAAGTACTGAAATCGTTTTTATGTTTAAGATAACAGTGTGGCACTTCAGTGCTAGATTTACTCACTTATGAACATTTCAGGCCTTTTGTGTATTACATAATCTCTTCAGCCGGCTACTCAATACTGAACAAAATATAAAAAAATCTGCATCCATTCAAGACACATACCATTATATGCCAATTGGTTCTGGCTGCATTATTGCCTTTTCCTTCACTAATGCCAATCTCTATTAGTTTCTAAAAACAAAGTCCGTGTGCATATGTGCCTAAAACAGTGACAAGCTCAGCTCTAGTGTCATAGCTAATAACTTAAATTGTCACATCAGTGGGGTGTAACAAAAAAATGTGCTTGTCAGGGCATTATAGGTTTTGATGCCTAAGGCAACTGCAGTAATCCCTTTCATTAATATTGCCCTGGTCAGGATCAAGAATATTGCTAGATACATACAAATTAACATGTACTTCTGTGCTTGAAGTGGAAAAAAATTGACAAAATCAGAAGGCTATGTTTAAACTACAATTTGTTATTAATCTTATTTTATTATACTGGCTGTGGAGTGTGAAATAAGCATTCTAATGAAAAAAATTATTCCATTTGATGACTAAGAATATCACATACATTGTTCAGAAGTATTAACACATACTTCATATTTTAGGATTAATTCAACATAAATATTGTGATGTGCTGCTTTCATGTTTTATAGACTTTATTTTGTTAATGCCCCAAAAAACAATGGTAAGATCCTATAAGCAAAGCTTTTTGCAACCTGATCTTCTATGGTAAAAACAGATTAACAAGTCAAAAGAAAATAGCCTGTGCTATTTCCATTTCCTATTCTCATAGGAAGAGACATTTTTGAACGAAGACATGATAAATATGTAAAAGTAGCTCAGTAGCTCATGCAGAGATTTGGGGCACAGACTGCTTACTGTAAGAGACTTTGTTAAGCCCACTAGAGAGAAAAGTATATTTATAAATGTAATAAAGTGAATGAAGGTTTAAAATAGTCAGTTTTGACAAGAAAAGGGAATTTTCTAAAAAGAAAAAAACCAGCTGTAGCATACAAGATCGAGTTTTAACTTTTTCAAAAGTTATTTTGATATTGAAATCATTTTGCTTTGTGGAATAAATCATTAATATGTCACAGCTAAGTAATGGACAACCATAGAATTCGATAAACTAAGAAAATAGTCGTCTTGCCTTTCTGGGACAATCATAAACAAATATTTCTAAGGGCAATTGCCCACAACTTGCTCTAAAGTGGTAGTAAACCGCAGATAAAAAAACAATCCACTGCAAGGTAATGTCATAATGTGCTACTATGCATCGCATGCTAGTACATTATGAAGGACTTACCTTAAAACGAAGCCCTCCAGCGGCGCGCTGTCACTGCTGACAGGGCTTTCATCTTCACCAGTCTTCCTTCCGGGATGTTTCAGGACACGGCACTGTGCTCTGAAGGAACGGCATGGGTATGCCGTTCCTTCAGAGCTCATGTGCCGGCTGTACAAGAGAGTGAATATATCTTAAATGTGAACCATTATATTATATTATTATATCTATTATTATATATATATATATATATATATAAATCTTATCTGTAGGTAAAAGATACAAAAATGGTTTTACTTCCACTTTAAGATCAAAAGACACAAGTTCATATATAAGGGGACATCAATCTGTGTTGGAAACATAGCCGAGAGTGGGTGGGAGGAAAATGGAAATGGTCATAGAGTGGTCTTAAAAAAGGAAATAGAAAGGCAAGGGAAGATTTCATGAGGTAGACACACTGGAGGCATATTTCCTACAAGGAAAGGAGGGAGGTATTTTGGATCAAACCCTCAGGAATGCTTTTCCTGCATGGATTGAAACTGATTTCCGGGGAAAACAGTTACATATAAAGATAAAATCCATATTAGGGATTACATATGCAATACATATAAGTGAGTGGTTTTACCTGCCATTTAATTTGTATTACTGTTGAATTAGTCCAGAGATTTACACACCACTGCCCTGTGTGGCAGAGAAGAAAACTTGATTTTTCTTTCTTGCAGTTCAATAACACTAAAACTGGCCATAAACACATCAGTTTTTTTGATCAGCCAGCAGACTGATTGGAAAAACTGAAAAGATTCTTCCCCACTGTGTCAATCTATTCTAAATACACTGATCAGCACTGCAGCCGATTGGCTGTAACACTGATCAAGGCA